GCATGGTTGGAACTTGGAACGATGGCTTGGTAACTAAGCTACCTGCCTTCTTTATCTAAACATTTTCATTTTTGGGAAATGTGTTTTATGGGGGAGAACGATGGAGGGGTAAATTTTTTAATATAAATTTATTGAAACATGAAATGTTGTATGCATATTAATGTTTATCTGTTAAGTATATAAAAAATTAAAAAAATATTTTTAAAAACTATATTATTTTTAATTAAATAATATAAAAAATTAAAATATTTTTATCTTTATTTTAAAAATAATTAAGATATTTTAATTTTTTATTAAATTTTTATTAAAACAATATATTTTTTAGATTTTTTAATTTTTTACATTACATATTAATACTTACTTTTTTTTGTTAACTTCATATAAAATAAAAAAACCATAAAAAATTTGTTATTTTACTATTTACACTATTTTAAATTATAAAATAGTGACCTTTGAACCAAAAATCTAATAGTAAGATTTATCTCTTATTTAAGAATTACTGTTTAAGAATTACTATTTTACCATTCAAAATAATTTATTTTATAAAATAATTTTTTCAACTGTAAATAAGTTGTTAAAAAGAATTGTGCACTTATCAAAAAATGATTAGAATGAGTTAAAAATAATCATTTTGTTAGATAATAAAAGTGTTCTACGGAATAATTATGCAAATTGCATAACTATAAACGAATAATACTTATTCGTTTTACCTCGTAATTTTTAAATATTAAAATGAATATTATTTCAAAACTACTCATTTTAATAAATATTTATTGAAAAAGATTAAAATATTTTATTTTTAAATCATGAATTAAGATATTTTTTGTTATTTTTTATCATTTTATCTCTTAATTTTTTAAAAGTAAATGGACAAACAGTAATCCTTAATTATAATTATTAAGGGTGAAAAACAACTTGAGGTCTTTTTCCTTTAAAATTAAAGGTCAATTTTTTATAGTCTAACCTAAAAAATGCATTATCAAGTTAGATTATTGTAGTTTTATTTAGAATACAAAAAAGTATTGATTATTAAATGTTGGTCTCTAATATTGGATATATCTCTGTATAATAATTTCTGTTTTGAGTTACCATATATATGCCACTTAATGTGTCTGGAATGCAAAACTGCGTATTCTAAATAGTTCCCTCTCATTAAGGGGCATAGTAACCTTAGATGAGGCAGTCCCTCGTATTGAAGGGTCTCTCCTATCTCCACAAAATTTTGAGGAAGGCAAGGCTCCAAAGAGCTGAAATTATCAAGTAAGCATTTGAAACAACATTAGCTAACAAATCTTTTTTATTCTCTTTGTTCATGAAATACATGTACTGCATGCTGTTATAACAATCATTATTTTTGCTATATATTACATGATTGCTACGTTGACTTGTGAGCTATGGATACATACATACATACATAATCATAAAAACAGTTTGTGTGTGTGTTTATGTATATACGGATTGGACAGGATAGCAATGCCTGAGATGATGCAGCCAAATTGGTAATGCCATTCTTCACAAGCTCAAAGAGAAGTGCGGTATGTATGCTGTTGCTGAAGTGTTTGGGGAATCCCTTGGAAAATAGTAAACATGTTTTCTGTGTCTTCACTTGAACTCCTTGCATTCAGTCTCTTCTTTGGATGCATCAACTCGTCCAAATTTCCAATAGAAAGTCTTCTTTCTATAGATTTGAGCACGTTTGTGACAGAAGAGCTCACTGGAGATGGAATCTGGTATTCTGGAGAGCTTTCTTGGAAGATTTCTTCTTGTCCTTGTTCATCTTTATTTTCCAGGGGAGCCATCATGGAATGCTGAAACTCGTATTCATAGAACTTCAGGATGTTGTCGTCTGGCACCTCTTGATTCTGTAAGGATCCCAGAATGACAGATGGAGGAGAATTGTCTAAACTGCTTTGGTATATTGATGAAGGGGAGTTGCTGGAACTGCTGTCATAGATTCCTCCTGTCTGTTGGGGAATCTGGTTCAGTTTCTGCCGAACTCGGCATAAAACCCAATCATCCAGCTGTAATTAAAGGATAAAACAAGAGATGGAATTCAGTTTGATGATAACAATGAGTTTTCTTGCAAATTTCCTGTTCCTTCTTAAACCATCCTGGCAGCTTACTAGAATTTGTCTTCACTAACAAAAGTTTAGAGAAGTTCATAACCACTGATATCTAGGGTCAAAGTCACAGGTTCAAAGTTGCTAAGCAGCTGACTTCTAATATGAATTGTCTTCTTCCCTTTAATTTCTTCTGTTCTTTAATTAGTTCAAGGAATTAAATTGACTGGAAACTTACTCTCATGGATCCCTTGAGCCTGGGAGAGTGAAGGGAATCATCAAGAAGTCTGTACTCTGTCATCATCCAATTGGTTTTTTCACCTTTTGGAGGCCTGCCTTTGTAGAACACAAGAGCTTTCTTCACCCCAAGGCAGTGTCTTCTGGCAGAGGAGAGGATTGGTTTATCAGTTCCAGTGGCTTTCCAGAATCCAGTGGCAGCTGCCCTGTTTGGACGCCCTCCATTAGGATACTTCCGATCCCTTGGACTAAAGAAAAACCACTCTGTATCTCCAAAACAGGCCTTACCTGCAAAAATATATGAATGTAAGCACTATCTCATGCTTTTTTTTCCTGGCTAAGTGATTACTAAGATGAGAAGAAAGGGGAATACTAGGAAGTTCCCATGGATTGAAGTTGTAGATATTGACATCCGCGATGACTGAAACAAAGGGATTAGAGGAGGAGACTTTCTGCTTAAGGTAATGAATGATGAGCTCTTCATCAGTGGGATGGAAACGGAATCCTGGAGGGAGGGAAAGACTGGAGAGCATGCTCAATGTTGCTGCCATTAATTCTGGAGAGGGAGGGGGGAAGATGTTTTGAAGCACTGTTTGGAATTTATAAACTTCTGGTTCTCTTGGAAAAAACCGCCATATTAATTTCTACCAGTTACTATTCTGTTTTCTGGCTTTTACTACATCCCTAGATGTTGTCCTTTTTTGTTTTACATGTCAATTTACTCATCCATTTCCACGCAATGGAGAAGAAAATGTTAGGGTTACTTCTCTACAATCCATCACACAAAAGCTTCAGCCAGGTTGAATCATTAAATTGAATCCGACGAGCATCACCTCTTTAATTCTATGTTGTTTGTTACCTATGATGGATTTTGTTTTTGAAACTTTCATTCAAGTGGTGATCAACTGCATAACTCATCATGTTATGCTTGCTGCATTACTTTTGAGATATTTTTTGATGTCCAAGGGATAAGGAATTTCTTACTTCTTAGGGATAATCGTTAAGTTATGCTTTCAGTTAGAATCCACAAAAAATTCATACTACTACAGTTGTACTTTAAAAAAAAAAAACTTTGCATAATGAGAGAGAATCATCTCTTATCACAAATTTCACTCCACCCGCATGTCATGTGACTCGAGTTTAAAATCTTTTACCTTCAACGAAAGGAGATTACCACTGAGTTCATTGGCAATAAAATTGTACTTTTAACTATGCTGCCGAGCTGCATTATTAGCTGCCAGTATTTTGAATGCGATAGATGATGTTGATACAACGATTTTTCAATTTCTTATTTCTTATGGTTCTTCACACAAAATCATATATGTTAACCTTTGAAGCAAACTGAGGTTACGTACAAAAGAGAGAGAGAGAGAGAAAAAAAAAAAAAAAGAAAAAGAAAAAAAGGGTTATCACTTTTGCAAACCAAAAGAAGAGTAAAGAAAAGAACAAATTTAGTTCATTCCAAGATGAGAAATATCATTGAGATACCTCTCTTCTATGAACAGGAGAAGTCCTTCTGGAGAAAGAAAAACTTTGGGTTTATCTACTACATCTAATTGGTACTTTAAAGGTCTTAGGAATGCCACACGTGTGCCGCAGGTTATAATAAAAAGGCCTGCATTCTCAGGCATGATCCATTCACATGGCTTAAACGGTCAAACAAATAACCTTGAAAATTTTTAATTCCTCCAGCAAACAGCTTGTTAGCATTCTAAGGCATGATCCATCCTGATTTATTAAGTGACTTGTACATGCATTCAAACTCGACTGTATTACATATGTCAATACGTTAAGGAATTCATACTAAAAGTCTGAAACCAGATTATTCTGGCATTGTGCTGAGCAGCTCCAATGTTATTGGTGAATGATACTGTGACAATCTTATGTATGTCATTTGGAAGTTTTTTTTTACTTTTTGCCCTGTCCCAGGTGAAAAACAAAGATTCAAAATTCTTACCTCTATATTTACAAAGAGCAAGCAGAGTTGGTGGCCACCAAAATACCTGAATCCTCGGCCTGCACGCATTTGACAGCAGCGTTTCAGTAAACTCTGACTTCAAACTATAAAATTCTTGGTTCAGGCAATAACATAAGCAAGACAAAATGTCACAAATTAGAAAATGACCTGGTCTTGAAAATTAGTTTAAAATGCTTGTGGACTTTCAAATCCTGAAACCTGGTTTAGTCAGTAGTTTTTGTTGCCAATGCAACAAGGGTTTCTAAAGGAAAAGGTGCTGGAAACTGGAAAAAGACGAAGGAGAGTTTACATAGCTTAAACAACCACTATTTTCTATTGGTGCGAAGTTCTTGGAGAGTTTCCAACCTAGGTGGCACCAAAGCCTGGGATTGTTAAAGATGTAGTTCAGATAACTAGACTGTTTTAATTAAAAAAGAAAGCATGAATTATACAGTGTTTTCAAAATTGCTTTTAACTTAGTGATTCGCTTCCAAGAAATCAGATGCTGCATGAGAAAGGAGCAAGCAACAATGTGACAGCTATGGTTCAGAAATGGGAGCTAGCTTTTGATTATGTGATATGATTGTTTCTCAAACATACTGGTTTTTATGCCATTCATTGAATGTGAATTCTTCATCAATATGAATAAAAGTTCTGGCATTATATATGGTTAAAAAAACTGAAATATTAGCTGAAGGGTTCATGGCAGGAAGCTCATGTAATCATGCTTTTTCAAAGAAATATAGCATCTCTTATTGCAGAGAACCATGTTTGGAAGCTCAAATTCACTAGAAGCTGAGTTGTGCACTAATTTTT